GTAATTGGGGGTTCCCTGGGAGTTATTATCCTTAATGCCCTGGAACACGCATGAACTCACTGTGGGCGAAAATTCTTGGAATAAGAATGGCCTGGCGTGACTTGACTTGACCTTCTTTTTTCAGTGAATATTTTTGATACATTTTACCTGTGGTTTCATTTATTTTTGAGTAACTTTTATGTGTGTGAATTTTCCTTGGGATTTGCTCTCCTCTGGTCACACAAGGATTTTTTGTTCTGTGCTGTAACTGAATTTGTTTTTGCAGTCTAGCCTCTGAAAGTTGAATTTTGTGGTTCTGTACCAGCATAAAAAAAGTGTTTTTGTTGTGGGAAATATAGAAGAATTTCAGGAAATTGTAATTTGCGATATTCTGGGCATGAAATGCTTATAAAAGGAGTTGACAAGGTGCTGAATTGGGAGGCAAAGGATTCATTTGCCAAATTAGTCTTTAACTTCCTTTCAAAAGATGTCAAATTAATTGTTGGAAATTGCTTTTCTCTTTCCTGTTTCTAGAAAATAATAGCCTGAAGGTCTCCAAAATTTGAGTTATTGTGGTTTGAAAGGAACATTTTTAGACTGGGAAAAGTTTTTAATGCATTGTTTCTAATGGAATTCAGGTGGGGACTTGAAAAAAATTCTACTGGGGAGTTATTGGACTTGGGATTGTACCAGTTATAGAGGTTAAACTGTATCTCTTTTCTTTCTTCTCTGTCCATCCCTTTCATAATGGAGGTGGTCATGGGATAATATTTCTATGCCAGGAGAATATATGAATGGTTGTGGTGGGGGGTGAGGTTCAGGGGGTGAATGGAATGAATGCTGAGACCCCTGGGTTATGTGGAATGCATCTTGGGATGTGAAGCATCAGATGCTATTTCACAGGGTTAGGTTCCAGCTCATGTGAATGGAACAGGTTCTGCCAGGCACATGCTGTATATAGTAACTGTGCCATTTTACTCCCATCTCTGAGACTTTTCTTAACATTTATTATTTGGTAAAAAAAGATTAATTATCCTTATTACTGTGTTTTGATATGTTCATGTATTTTTAAATGTCCAGAAATATTTCCAGGTGAAACATAAAAGCAAATAAAACACAAACAAGGATTATTGAATTGAATGTAATCCTCTCTGAAGAAGAGCCCTCCAAGGAAGGGTGTGTAGAGTAAAATCTTGTTGAAAAAAAATGTTCAAGGAACTTTTGAAAATTTATTCATTTTGCAAAAATAATTACAAAAAAAGTTGTTGCAGGGAATTTTACTGTATTTCATTGCCTCTTGTAGGCTAATTTGTACAAAGCCATCTTTTAGCAGCTAACATAATCAGGCAGTTGTAATGATTGATTTGTTCCCAACAGCTGTTTGTACTGTGGGGTCTTGGCTAATTAGCTTATTCCATTTCCATGAGCAATGTTATTTTCAGCCAAATACTGTATTTTAGTTTGTTAGCTGAATAACTTTTGCCCTTGAGAAAGTAAAAGAATACTTTACTTCTATTTGTTTCCAAACCCTTGAAAGTGACCATGAAAATAAAGAAAATTTCAACTAAATTTTACATTATGTGTCTCAACTTCTAGTCAAGTGTCAAAAAGGGCTTGCATAATGAAAAAACAAAATAAGAAACCTTCAAGATACAAGATAACAAAAGTGAAATACACATCTTCAAATTAAAGGCAAAATCATCTAAAACATTTGTTGCTCTGATTGATTTTAGTCTCAGTCATGTATTTGTTACAAGAATGTTTTTTCATGAGCCCCATTGGAGTCATTGTGAAATGATTTCCCCAGGTACATGATTGATCAAATTTGAATGTGACAAGTGTTTATTTGATCTTAGACTCTTCTCGCTACATATTAAAAAATGTTATCATTGGGAAAATGCCGGATGATATACACACACACGTGAGCCCACGTGAGCTCAGAGTCGTAAATAATAAACGACTCTGAACTGGGTCATAGAAAAAGAATATAATAAAAGACTCTGACTTGCCCTTGATATTCTGGAGTATATAAACTCCAGGAGCATCTTCCCCAAATCAGGCATTAGTGCGCTGACCATTGAGTAGAATCCCGAGTAGGAATCCTCTGAGGTCTTGTCTTGTCTTGTGTGTTTATTGATGAAAGTCAATAAAATATAAATACTGCTGGAACTCTGTGTTTTACTTCTGCCACTATAAAGGAGACACCAAACCTTAAATATAAAGAAGTGTAAATATACACAACAAAAATAACAACAAGGGCTTTTAGAGGAGGTTGACCTAAATGTCCTAGCAAAAAACCTGGAAACTGCATTCCTGGGTGATCCACTTCCTCTTTCCCTTTTGATGAAATGAAAATAAAAAAGGACAAACTGAAGAGATCTCTTATGAAAATGGGGCTGCTTTATTTTCTCCAGTGTGTATATATGTATGTGTGTGTGTGTGTATGTAGACTAAATGTAGGCTGTGACAAGTGCTGCTTGATGGTGCCCTAGTTTCTCTCTCTGCTCTCTTGCTCTCTGCTGGTCCTTTTATTGCTACCATATGCACAATAACATTTACATTTGCAAAAAAGAGGTCATGACATTCACTATAGATGTCTACTGCAAAAAAAAAAAAGAAGAGAGATGAAATGCAATGAATAAATCATGTTGTCACAGCTACTGGGAAGACCTGTTTGAGATGCAAGGAAGGCAAGGCAAGGCAAGGCAAGGGGAGTGTCCTTTGATCTTTTCCTCACCAGATTGCCTCAGGAAATGAATCATTCAAGGTGGATCCCCACCTGACCTGGCCTGGCCTGGTCTTACCTGTCCTGCTCTATCCTATCATGTTTGTCCTTTGTTTGTCAATGTTTCAGGACAAAGGATGGTGTTTCTCCATGTGATAATCCATGCTGCAGTTTCTCAAGAGCATTATACAGGTGGAATCACACTTCAACAAAATTCAAGGGACCAGAAAAAAAAATCCTTATAGAGATCATTTTGTTTTGTAAGAAAAACCCTGTGTAACATGTGGAGAGAATCCTATGGGACCAGATAAATACTGTATTTTCCTAAAGAGAAAATTGTTGTGAACAAGATTGTTGTATAGAAGGAGTGAAAATGTATTCTGGATGTTTTTTTTTCTGTGAAACACACTGTACAGTATAGTCTCTGTTGGGGACATGCAAAGAGAAAATAAAATATGAAAATCAATCCATCACTCCCTAAAGGTATAGCATCTGGACTTTGAGAGCTCAGGTATGCAAAACTATATATATTCTGCCTGAGGAAACCAGCCCCAAATACTCCCATGCAAATTCAACTGAATTTAACTTACTGATGGAAATGTGTGAAAGTTCAAGTATCAAGAAATTACTAAAGCACTAAGATGGATGACTGGCTCAAAAACTGCAGAACTGATAATTTGTTCCCTCTGAGAAAGAAACATTGCTGAAAATTAAAGATTATTCTGTTCTGGTTTGTCAAAGTGTGTTTGAATTCATGTGTGTGCATAGGGATAGATTAGAAGGAAATTTGTATGAGCTTTCTAGCAAAAAAGTTCCCAGACTGAGTTTTCACATTTGTTCCTGACTTTTTTTCTGAATTCTTTGCAGTTTCTGAGTGCAGTGGACTCAGACTGAAGGATGCCTTGAATAAATGTTTCTTGAGAATTAATTTTTTTATTCATGGTGCCCATAAGAGTAGAACTGGGTCTTGTGTGTTTAAGTTGATGCCACTTATACAGTTTAACCTCACTAACTCTTTCCAATGCTGAAATTTTTAAAGTACTGTCTGAATTCCAATGAAATCAATGCATGCAAAACCACTGTAACTCAAAGGCATTCCTCCTTAAAACTCCATTACAGCACTTACATTTTATGTATGCTTTTTGGCTATTATTTTATTGACACAGGAAAGAAAACAGCAATAAAAGTGGAGCTTGATGTGTTTTGAAAGGAATTTCAAAATTAATTGATCAGATGAACCAAGCAATTATGAAAGGTCCAAAATATTAAAAATTAAAATTTCCTGAATTTTTTTCCAACAAATTTTATTTTTATTGCATTAAAAAATCCCTAACTTCAGATTTTTTTTTGCTTGTCCCTCCAAGTTTGACCATGTTTGTGATTTGGTGAAATTGTGTACATTTGCAATACAGTGAAACCCTGATTTAAAGACATCCTGAAATACAGGCAATTCAACTTAGGGACACTTGAAAACAAAAAAAATAAGGCACAACATCTGGACATTGGATCAAGTTAGAGACACTTTTCTGAAATTTTCCCAAAAAGTTTAAACATTTCATTTTTCAATTTTTGAAATCTTTTGAACAAATCAAGCTTTTTATATTCAAAAAAATTTAAATTGTATTTTCATGATAAAATCACTGCAATTCATAATCAAAAATAAGCTGATTTTGTGCTTCTTTTTTTTAAGAGTTTGTTTCTATCATCTGTGTGTATTCTTGCAAGACTTTTTATTTTTTTTTGCTTTTTGATAACAAAAGATCAGATTCTATGTGGATTGTTTCTGCAGAGTTGTTTTCTACAACTTGAAGTGGAGGGAAACAATTTTTACTACATTTTTTGAGGACTGATTTCTAATTTTTTTTAACCAAAAAAAGAGAAACAATTAAAATACATTAGAGTTGAAGTCAAAGGGAAAATGAGACTCAACTTAGGGACATTCCAACATTCGGGCACTCTTCTTGATGCACCAATTATGTCCGCATCTCGGGGCCTCACTGATAATCTCCCCAGCAATGAAATCTCCTTAGCTTGGATTATTTCTACCAAATGCAAATCTGAGAAATTTTCCGTGGCTTATAAATTTATATGATAATCAATGCAAAGTATCCAACCATTTTACGTCATGTCTACAGTATAAATTTATTTTTGAAAGGCAAAATCGAACATAGAAGCTTCTCAAGTGCTGCCCGAGACGATGATCGAATTTTCACGCGCGTCAAATTATATTTTTCTAACTGCGCGAATACGGTGGAATGCGTGCCATTTTCATGTCTTCATTTCGTGCTAATTATTAATTTTTTTCTCGTTTTTTTCCCCGCCAGGGTGGGCATTGGCGCCTCGCGCGGCGGAACCGGAACGGCGGCGGTGCGAGTGTCCGAGTCGCGGAATTCTTGGTCCTGTGGCGTCCCTCCCTTTTCCCCCCACGAAAAAAGAAAAGAAGATAGAAGAAAGTGAATAAGGAAGCAGTGGTTTTTTTTTTTCTGCCGGACTTTAAGCGGTGTAAAAAACAAAAAAAATAGCGGAAGATGTCGACGATGGAACGGGAGGCGTCCATGAATGGCGCCGGCGGCGCCACGACCATCATGAAGCAGCGGGGCCGGAAGGGCGCCCTCAAGAAGAAGAACGTGTACATGGTCAAGGACCACAAGTTCATCCCCAGGTTCTTCAAGCAACCCACGTTCTGCAGCCACTGCAAAGACTTTATGTGGTGAGTGGTGATTTGTTACAGTGACACCTCATTACAACACACTTTTTTTTTATCAAACTTGAGAAAAAGTTTGTAAATTTGTTACAAACTTTTTCTCAAGTTTGAAAAGCCACAAGAGGAGGATGTTGAATATGTCCAGGTCTAATTTAATTTTAAACATTGCAATCATTCAAAAATTTTGATAATCTCATTATAAAAAATTATTTGTTTTAATGAGATCATCTAAATCAAAAACATTGCAATCATTCAAAAATTTTGATAATCTCACTATAACAAATTATTTGTTATAATGAGATTATCAACATTTTTGAATGATTGCAATGTTTAAAATAAAATTAGACCTGGGCATATTCAACAACATTGAAATCATTCAAAAATTTTGATAATCTCATAACAAATAATTTGTTATCATGAGATTATCAAAATTGTTTAATGATTGCAATGTTTAAAATAAAATTAGACCTGGACATATTCAACAACTTCCTCTTGTGGCTTTTCATATGTTTTTCAGTGTTTAAAAAAAAACTGTGATCTTGAAAATAAATTTAAGTGTTACCAACAAAAATTTACTTAGTAAACATTGGCACTTTTTGTTGACTTTTAAGATTTTTTTTCTAAGCAGAGCCTGCACAGATTTGGAAAGGTGGATATGTTACAAAAAAGCTTGAAATTTTTAGGCATCAGTTGGGTTTCTCAAGCATACAAACCCCCTTTTTAGCATGAGTTTTGCTGTGTTTCTTTTTCTTTATCTAACACCCCCCCCCCCATGCCATGTTTCCTAACCCATGAACAATTTTTGAAAAAGAGGATATTCAGGTTAATTTTGAAGAATTTGTGTCCTTGATTCCACCCTATATCCCAAGAACCAGTTACAGTTACATTGTGAATGGGACTTCAGAGACTGTACCTGCCTTCATTTGGGATTTTTCATTGGGAAATCACAAAATTGTACTAAAAAAATTTTGTTTTACAGGAATTATCAAGTTTGTTGTACTTATACTTTATAACATATACCCTATTGGATTTCTGCTGGGACTTGGAAAACATTTTTTTTTTACTGGAAAATTTGTTGTAATGGTATTTGTTGTGACAAGATTTTACTATATTATTATCATTATTATTACAAGTTGGAGGTTCCCAGCCACACCTATGGGCATCATCATGAGGAAATTTATGCCAAGATTTTTACAAACTTCAATGAATAAACAAGGTTTACTTTTTAAATTATGCTTGCCATTTTTATGTTATGGACTGTTGGTTACAATAAAACAAATTATATTTTTTGCCTGTAATCTTTTTAATTTTTGATATTCTCTTGAACTTTGAAAGAGCAGAATTTGAGAAAAATCACTGATGTGCTTCCTATACAGTCAAAAATTTGAAGTTAGGTGGGATATAAAAAGCCTTCAACAAAAGGTTGAAACTCTTAAAACCTTGAAACATTATCCTTATTCAGTCTTTACAATGTTTTTGAGAGATGGATAGAGGGGTAACTTTATGCATATTATATTATTATCATTATGGTACAGTACTATAATTAATTTTTAAAATTTGAATCTGGGTAACAGGAACCTCCAAAAGTCAAATTCCTCCCAATGTTGAATTTGTGTTTCAAATCTCTGTCAAAAGTACCTGAGGGATGTTTTCAATGCATTGTTTCTAACTCAAAGGCTTTCCCCTTCAAACTTAAAAAAATTCAAATTTTCTGGAGGCCTTTTTGGGTATTATTTCATTGGTACAAATCAGATAAAAGCAGTAAAGAATTAAACTTGATGTTTGTTTTGAAAGGAAATGGAAGACTTATTAAGCAAATGAAGGCTTGCTTTAAAGTTCAGCATCCTGTGAACTTATTTGAAGAGCAAATGTCATCATCATATTGAGAATTTGATTAATAGCAGTGGGATGGGAAGTGAAGTGCTCTGAATTCATGTTGATGGATTACCTAATGAGAGTCTGAGCTATTTTCCTTGATGAAAAACATGTCTGTTTAATTATTCTGTTTACTGGCCAAACTTTTTGAGTAGCATTGAGAGAGCTGGGGATGACTAAAACACCTGTGCTTGAAACTTATTACAGTGGGGGTTGGGCTGATGAACTTGATATTTTCCTGTGAGAAAATTTTTTTTCAGAAAAATATTTCATTAGCTGAATCCCATTTTTCCTTGGGATAATTTTAATAACAATTTTAATTGGTTCCAAAACCCTCAAAGTCCCCATGAAAATCAATAAAATTCTTCCAGAAATCTATTGGTGAGCATAACATTTGTTGTCTCAACTTTCATCCATGTCCTTGAAAATGCTGGAATAATGAAGCAAAAGCAAATTAAGGCAACTTTCAAGAAATGGCAGAAGAAAAGTGAAATAAAAGACAAAATCATGGAAACATTCCATGATTTTCAACAGGGGGTCATGAAAAAAATGAACAAAAAAAAAACTCATGTTAAAAGGGGATTGTATGCTTGAGAAACCCAACTGATGCTATAAAAATTTTAAGCTTTTTTTCGAACATATCCACCTTTTCAAATCTTTGCAGTAACTGCTCAGAAAATACATAGTCAACAAAAAGTGCCAGTGCTTAATTGTTATTCAGAGTAAGTGTTTGTTATTAGTATTTAAAAATCTTTTTAAAGAGATCACCATTTTTTAAACACTGAGAAACACCTGAAGAGTCCACAAAAAGATGTTGAATATGTGTAAATTCAGTCTTTAAAAAATCTACCAATCATCCAAAAATTTTGAAAATCTCATTCTAACAAATCATTAAATCTATCAAACTGTTTTTCAAGTTCCCATACGTTTTTGTGACAATATGTTAATGTATTGGAATTTTGCAGTTGATTTTATTGATAAAATTAAATAATTTCTTAATTGAAAGGCAGTGAAGGATAGAAAAATCAGACAAGTGTGCAAAATATGAGAATCTGATTGAGATTGAAAGCTTCACATGTCAGATAAAAGGAAAAAAAAACACTTGACAAGTGTGCTTTTGGTGCTTCTCTGCCTCTTCATACATTCATCTCCATTGACTCCATTTTCAACTTCAATAAGTGGAGGCTTTCTTTGATATAATCGCACTTCCTGGGAATTGTATTGTGTTTGTGTGTGTGTGTGTCTTTCCTGTCTCTTTGTTCAATGGTGTACTGAAGTGTTGATTGTGGGGCTTCTCTGGATCGATGACTGGCACTGAACACACCAGGGCTGGTTCATAAGTTCTGAGACTTTTTGAAATACTATTCAAAGGAGTTTCAGCAATTCCAAAAATTTTTTTTTTGATTGCCTTGACCCATCATTTGGCAACACTTCAGTGCTGTTCAACACACTCTTTGCAAATGTTTATGCTTTTTTGGTGTGCAATAAATCCAATGGGTCAAAGTAGTGCCAGAAATGGGGTTCTGTTGGTTGATTATAGCCAACCTGTTAATTTTGGCTGGTCCTGACAATAAGAAACAACATGAGAGGAATTTTTTCTGAGGACAACAGAAACAGTTCTATTTCTGCCACCAAAGATCAGCTTGATCAACCAACACAACTTGATTTTCTGCAGTTTCTTGATTGTTTGATTTTATTGCATGAAAAAAGGTATTGAAATTGGCAAATATTATTTTAGTCATATGGTTATGGCTACCATTAAGTTGCTTGGTAAAAAGCACTTGAGGTGCACTTACTATCAGTTGTTCCACAATGGGTTTTTCTGGCTAACAACAAAGTAGAATAAAATAATGTCCTAATTTATATTCTTGCATGTTGCAACTGAAATGTCAACTCTGATCCGCATCAGTGCTTGCTGTATTATGCTTGACCTCATTAGGTTCAAGAATTCCATGATGAATACAGTAAAATCTTGTTACAACAAATACAGTTACAAAACAGTTTTCATTTTAATAAACTTTTTTCCAAATCCTGGCAGACATTCTGGGTTAGATGAAAAAGATGAACCCAGCAAAATTCTTTGTTTATACTTGAGAAATTCTCTGATAGTGATGTAAACATTTTAGGCAATTTTGGAACATCCACCCTTATACAAAGCTTTGCAAGAATTGCTTAGAAGAATGTAAGTCAAGAAAAATTGTTAGTGTTCACGTGTTATTCAGAGTAAATGTTTTTTTCATCAACAATTGAATCTCTTTTTGAAGATGACAGGTTTTCAGACATTGAAAAGCATCTGGAAAGGTCACAAAAGGAAAATATTGAAGATATGCTGGTCTAATTTTAAGAAAATCTTTGCCATCAGGCATAATTTTCAAAATCAAACCTTTTCTGAAGTCCCCACAAGTTGGTTGTACCAAGATTTTACTGTGTGATCTCCATGCAAGGAAACTCAGAACTACTCATGTTGACTGTGCCTCAATGCCATTCCCTGCATATATGCACCTGAGCTATATAAAGAGGATCCTCTCCCAGGATCTGGGAATTTGTTGTCTGAGTCTTGAGCAGTGTTGACTTGAGTAAACTTGAAGACAAAAGAATTTATCCCTGTATTTCCTAGCTGGTTTAACCTGGAGGAACACTTGTGACAATTCCCGAGTTCCCAGCACTCTGAAAAGATATACTTTTCTAGTCTTGTACTTTGTACATGTAAACTCTAGTCTTGTATATTTGAGTGTTGTATTTTTGTTGAAGATACCTTGTGTGTTGTGTGTTGAATAAAAAGGGTTTGAAAGCCACACAAGTGACTCAGTTCTTTTCAGTAACTGAAAAATATATTTCCTTTGTAAATATAACAGTAACTGATTGAGGACAACAGCTTCTTTTTTTCGAATGCCTTTGTACAAATAAACTGAGTTATAAGTGACTCCTCAAAGAGTTTTCCTGAACTTCCAAAAGTAATGCAGAAAGCATTGAAATCTTTGAGTAAACATTGTTACAGGTGGTACCTTGTAATTCAACCTCCCACAATTCAACCATCCCACAATTCAATGTTCAAATTTGCAGGGAGGTCAACTCTTCATTTCACCTTTGGAAAGATGAAAAACATCAAATGCCATTTGACAAAGTCTTGCAATTTGACTGCTTTGCAATGTGACCTTAGTCCGGCAATGGATTAGCGTCAAATTGAAAGGTACCACGTGTACCTGAATTAAAGCTCAAAATCGTTGAAGTACAGTAGATTTTAAACAACAGCGCATAACAACAGTGTTGCCCAATGATAAGGCTATGCAAGTAAAAAATCTTTTTTTGGGATTGTTGAAACTATTGTTGGATCTATTTTGAAAAGTCTTGAAACTTTTGAACCAACCCTCATATATATATATGAGTATGTGTGTGATGGAGAAAGAGGATCATCCCTTTGACTGCTCTTCATCAGGGATTTTGTCCTCACCAACCTTCTTTTTGCTTCTTCTGCTTGTTCTTCTTCTCTCCATCTGTCCCATAATTTTTTTTTATCTTCCTTGCCTTTTTTTTGGGTGGTGAATCCTTGGGTCAATCTGGTGTTGAGTGGAAAGAAAAACAGACCAAGTCCATACACACATTCAGTAAAATAATAGAAAAATCCATGGTGGACGTGTTTGTGAAGAACATTTGCAGAACTTGTCATCTTTCAAGTGTCATGGGACATCAGAGAATGCCATGGGAGCAAAAAAAAAATATACAACACTTATTTTCTTCAGTTTTTTTTTTCAAATTGAAGTTGAAAAATAATCAAGAAATGATTTTGTTTTACCTCTTGAAAATGTCTGAGTTATCACTGAAAGGGAAGAGTTTTGACTATTTGACACCTTTATTTTTTAAACTTTTTTGGGGGAAAATCTGAAGTTTAGTAGGAAATTCAAGTGTTGCTATAAATTCAGAACATCAGGAAATGGGATGCTTATATGTGTTTGAATTATTTTCATTTTGTGCAAGAAACATATATGAGATTTTATATTTTTAGGTGTGCTTATTACAAGTAAAAAATTTCTTTACAACAATTTTCTCTCAAAAATTTCTTCTCACAAAGATCCTGAAGATTCCCTGAATTAAGCGCATGTTTAGGAAAATTAATAAATATGCTAATTTAAGCACCCTCTTGATTATTCAAGCCTCTAAAATTAAAATAAAGGTGTTGCTTATATTAGCATTAATACTGTGAAAAAAATGTTGAATGTATCTTTCCTATATTTTTTTTTCGAAGACGTTCTTTTGTTCTTTTGGCACTGGTTGGATCTCATGTTTTTTTTTTGTTGCTCACCGCCTCTCCATCTCCATCCGCAAGAAACTATTCAAGTAAACAAGACTCAGTTCTAAATTTTTTCTTGGCAAACTTTGTGGGGTGAATAACGAAGCGGAACAGAGAAGAAGAAGAAGAAGAAGAAGCGACCCAAGACTTTCCAGCCAGGTGGAAAAAAGCGTTTGCTTTTTGGGTGGAGTCTGTGACGACTTTGAGTCTAAAAATAACCATTGATTCACTTGATACAGTGCAGTAAAGTACAGTACTGTACATGGAATGGAAAGTCCTTGGTTGATTTTGAATATCAAGTAGGAGAGGGAAATCAGGCATGCCTTGTGCTGGAGACCAAAGTTTTCTAGCACCTGCTTCTGGTGAGGCTGGGGGGAAAAGTTAACTTGCTATCTGTCAAGGGGTCTCTTGAGGATATAAGCAAAAAGTTGAAGGAGATGAGGTTGAGAGAGAGTGACTTCATCTTATTCCATCCATCTTGGCATGTGAGTGGGAGAAATCAGCAATCGAATTTGAAATCAATTCCACATGGTTCTCAGCAGGTATTAATGGAACCCCATGAAAGAATAAATGTTAAAGCCACTGTGGAATAAATGAAACATAAGGGAGCAGCAGAATAAATATTCAAGGGGACACCTTAAATACTGTATATGCTTTTAGTTTTTCTTTCAGAATGTGTAATGTGTTGGTGAAGAAATGACACAAATTCACAAGTGAACCAAAAATACTGACAAGTGAATAGTACACAACTCAAAAATACAAACTTGAAACATGTAAGGAAAAATGGATAAAAAGAGAGTAGTCATGCTGTGAGAGGAATCAGCAATTAAATTTGAAATCAACTGCCCAGGATTCTTAGGTTTTAATGGAAACATCTGAAAGGAGGAATGAGAAAGCCACAGTGGAATAAATGAAACTTAAGCAACCAGCAGAACAAATATTCAAGGGAACTCCTTGAATATGTGCTTTTAGTTTTTTTTTTCAGAGTGTACAATGTGTTGGTAAAAAATGACACAATTCACAAGTAAACCAAAAATACTAACAAGTGAATGAAATACAACTCCAAATAAAAAACTTGAAACATGTAATGCAAAATGGTTGAAAAAAGAGCGGTCACGCTATGAGAGAAATTAGCAATGGAATTTCAAATGAACTATACACAGGATTGTCAGGCATTAATAAAACCCAATGAATGTAAAAATGTAAAAGCCATTGTGAGATGAATGAAACAACAGCAATCCACAGAACAAGTTTTTAATGGGACACCCCAAGCATATGCTCCTAGTTTTTCCTCCAGGATGATTTATTGTGTAATGTAATGGCAAGGAAATGACATAATTCACGAGAAACATTAAATACCGTACACAAGTGAATAAACCACATCTGTGTGCAAATCCAAAACACCAAATGTAAAACATACAACAATGAAGTACAAATAAAAAAGAATAGTGACCCTATATGAAAGAAATCTGCCATCAAATTTGAAATCAACTAACTGCACACAATTCTCAGGCATTAATGAAACCCAATGAAGGAATGCTCAATACACTAAAGCCGCTGTTGAATAAATAAAGCATCAGCTATCAGAGGAACACATATTCAAGGAGACACCTTAAATGTACACTCATAGTTTTTTCACAATGATTTATTGTGTAATGTAATGGCAAGGAAATGACACAATTCAAAAGAAACATCAAATACACTATACACAAGTGAATAAAACACATTTGTGTGCAAATGCAAAGCACCAACGCATAACATGCAACAGTGAATTAAGAATATTATTAGAGTATTGATCCCTCACAATGAAAGTTGTGTGAAGACTGCTTTTTAATCAAAATGGAAGTTGAGAGGATAACAAAACCTTCACTTGGGGTTTTCTCAGCGCATGAGATATACTGTATATTTCACTCCAAACAAAAAAATTCAACAAAATAATTCAAGTTAGAGAAACAATGATTTTTTCAGAAAGAGAAAGAGAGAATGGCAATGAATTTTACTTTTTGATGTTCCATGCTTTGAATTGTTTTTTTTTAAATGACTCTTCAGGAGGCTGGATTTGGAGGCAAGAGTTAATTTGCACAATTTAATCTGTGACTTCCTTCCAAACCACATCAAAGTTGAATTTTTATCACTTCCATCTTTCCTGTGTGAATAAAATCAGAGCCCAAAAGGCCTCCAGAAAACTCAACTCATTTAGTTTTGAGGGGGAAAAAGCATTTGAATTATTATTTTTAAGGCATTCTTTCTAAAAAAAAAAAAAGTAATATATTTGTCTGGGTTGAGTTTTGAGTCTTTGGGGTTCAACTGTGCTTGTACAGGATACTCTGAAACTTTTTTGTTGTTGTTCCTAGTGGAATGCTCTTATTATTGTGGTAGAGGTGATGAATGGGATCCCCTTTTTTTTGCCTTTGGGGGATGAAGTATGCACAAGTCGTGTCATTAATCCTGAGAGGGCTCTGATAATTTGCGACAAGCACCTCCCTTTCTGGATTCTCATCCCATCAGATCCATTCAGCAAAGAAAAAAAAAAAAAAGAATGAGCTCTTCGTTTTTCTTCCATAAGTTTTTCTTTATTCTTCTTTCAATCATGTCTATTTCCGACCCTTTTCTCCTATTCCATCTCCCACCATCTTTTTTTTTGCATGTGCAGAAATGAGAGGCTGGTGTATAAAAACCCTTGGAGGCTTTTCTTCTCAGAGCGGCTTTTTTGCCCCAGGATCCTCCTCCCCCTAGAGTCAAGTGCAGTACCCACTTCTTTTCTTTGCAGGTTGGACCAAGTGGAGAAAAGAGAGAAAGAAAGAATGAATAAAGACAGGAAGGAAGGAAGGAAGGAAGTGAACCTCTTGACAGCATTTTTCTGTCTCTCTCTCTTTCCTTCCTGTCTGAGCATCAGTTTGTTTGTATGTATTGCTTCGTGACGTGCGTTTAGCCCTGGATTTTTTGTGTCGTGGGGAACAGGGATTTTGTGGGTGCTGTTTTTTTTTTTTTTTTTTTTTTTTTTTTTTTTTTTGTTTGTTTTTNTTGGTGCTGCTGTTTTTTTTTTTTTTTTTTTTTTTGCTTCCCACGCTGGGATCCAACGTCTGGTGACTATTTTGAAACCCGAGATCAGAGGGGAAAAATGTGGTGATGTAATGTGTAGCAAACCTGGGTTATGGATGATTCGAGACAGACAATTTGAGACGGGAAGATTCATGACAGGAGATAATTCAAGGGAGGTTCAATTAGAAACAAGGTGATGTGAAGAGAAAGTCAATTTGAGTCAGGGTTGATTTGAGACAAGAGCAATTTGACATATGGTCAATTCAAGGCAAATATGGACAATTTTAGACAGACCATTTGAGACTGGACAATTTTAGACTGGACAATTTTAGACTGGAAAATTTGAGACTGGAAAATTTGAGACTGGAAAATTTGAGGCTGGAAAATTTGAGACTGGAAAATTTGAGACTGGAAAATTTGTGACTGGACTATTTGAGTCAGGGCCAGTTTGAGACAGGGCCAGTTTGAGACAGGGACAATTTGAGACAGGGCCAATTTGAGGCAAGGACAATTTGAGACTGGACAATTTGAGAGATATGGTCAATTTGAGATATGGTCAATTTGAGATATGGTCAATTTGAGATATGGTCACTTTGAGACAGGGTCACTTTGAGACTGGGCAAATTGTACTCAGGGTCAATTTGAGGCAGGGCTTTACTTGAGGCAGGGCTTTACTTGAGACAGGGTCAGTTTGAGACAGGGTCAATTTGATACAGGGTCAATTTGGGACATGTTCAATTTGAGGCAGGGTCACTTTGAGACAAGACCAATTTGATTAATGGTCAATCCAATACAACAATTTGAGACTGGAAAATTCAAGACATTGCCAATTTTGAGATGGGGACAATTAAAGAGAGGATTATTCAAGGATACATTCAATTTGCCAAGAGTCAAATTGAGGCTAGGCAAATTTGAGACAGAGTCAATTTAGGACAGGGTCAATTAGAGACAGCAAACATAATATTTGGCCTTCTACATGCATTTCCACCTTCATTTGGTCTTTAGCATTTGCACTATGAAACCTGTATAAATTGTAATTCATTATAAATATTGTTATACTGTACAGAATACCACATATTTGAATGAACTTACGTAGTTGTCATATTATTGAGGCATTTTTAGTATTTACACATCTGTATCATTCATGCATTTTCATGTACTTGTACTGTGAAGTATTTTCTTTTAATGCCTGCATACATTTTTTTCATTATGATGTAGAATGCATTTAAAAAGGTCTGTGTGGGTGGTAAACATTTTCTCAACCTTGTGAACCCTGACAAGTAACAAATTAAAATATGTATATCAATCAATCAATCAATCAATGAATGAATCCATCAATCAACTCTCCATTCAAAAGGGGTCAAATCTGAAACCTCCAAAATCACTGTCTATTTTGACCCAAAAGGACTCTTCACCTCTGCAATGTGGCAACATCTTGAGTTGAGCTGCACTGACCTTCAGTATTTATGCTAAATTCCCCTGTGCCAAAAATAATAATGCTTGCCTTTCTTCATTTAATGATACCCAGACTGACACACCGCATGCATGAATGCTTGAATGAGTGCAGACAATTGGCATCTGGATGGCCAAAGGTCTTTTTACTCAATATTGAGGCTGATACTCACCTCCTATATACTGCAAATATATGCCATTTGTCTGCCATTTTTTATACTAAAGTGCGCACACACACATACACCTGCTGCTGCAGTTATTTTCCCCCATTTATTTAAATATAGGAGAATGCTTCATCTTTATATTTTCTGTTGTGCAATGTCTTGTGTTTTGCTTGATTAATTGAAAATGGATTCCTTCCAAAATTGATTTTATATCATATTGACAAATTCATGGCACTTTAGTAAAAAATTCATCCATTTTTCAAAAGTGTCTAGGTGGTGTAACACCTGCAGCATAAATACATTAGTTTGTGCATCACCAGAGCACCTTCTTTTCTTATGTACAGCATTTCATACTGATAGGAACAAGCTTAAGAAAGATTTACAAATACTGGTATTCAATGAAGAGACCCTTTCTGAAATCTTAAAGGATCAAGATAAACTGTTGGCTTTATATGATTTCTCATCAAAGATCCTCTCTGATTTGTTCATTCAACTAAACCTCATACAGAAACAAGCTGAAGACCTTGTGTGGGGGTTTGGTTGTGGAAATCTTGATTAAACCTTGTGAACGCTGAAAAGTGGCAAATGAAGTGTTCTGTTCATTCATTCATATAATATTGAAAAGAGGGAAAGTTTCTCAAAAAGTGGCAAATGTAGTGGTTATAAATGTGGAAACAGCATTTATAACCACCTTTTGGTCTCATAGAATTACTGTATATATCCCACGTTCAAGCGGTTCTCTACTACAAAATTCTGTTTACAACGAATTTTTTGTGGTCCCTTGAATTTTTTTTTTTTGCAGAGATGGATACCCATAATTTTTGAGTTTTCAGTCAGGATCTTGAATGAAAAAAAAATTTTCGCGTCATATGAATGCAAAAAATTCAGTTTTTGGAACATGAAAAAAAAGATTATAAATCTGAGTAGGTGACAAAAATTTGAAATGTATGCAATTTATTGTGTTGTATTCAGAATGAAGAAAGCCTGGGGGCATTTCAGATGGAATTGAAGCCTTCCCGTGTTGTTTTGTTCTTCTCCATGCTCCGGAAATTATCGCGAGATCCTTCCCTGGTCCTCTTTGCGAGGATCCCCTTCTTTGCACATTGCAGGTCTTGGGATCCTCTCCTTTATGTCTTATTGGGATCCCCTCCTTTCAAAAGGGCTCGCTATCCTCTTTCTCTCTCTCTCTCATTTTTCTTTTTGTTTTTATTGTTGTGTGTACCCGAGTATAATCGCATGAAGTCCACCTGTTTTTTTGTGTGCAAAATCCTCCGCCAAAAAAATAAAAAAGAGCTTGACGAAAAGTGCGACGACTTTTCGGATTACTTCGCGTGTGTAAGTATAGAGTAAATCCCATACGATGTGCAAAAAAAAAAAATGGCTGGGAAATATATAAAAGAGTGACACGCACAAGCTCAAAAGGACACTGATCTGAACGATTTCTTTTTCTCTCTCTCTCTTTTTTTATATTTTGCAGGGGCTTCGGCAAGCAGGGCTACCAGTGCCAAAGTGAGTCGCAAATCAGCAGAAGAAAACACTCGTCGTCGGGATTACTTCTTCTTTTTCTTCTTTCCCAGCTTAAAATAAAAATAAAATTCCAAAGGCGTTCCTCTGGACCTAATTAATTTCTTTGCACTTTCTTTTTAAAATGAAAGAAATTTTTTGGAAAATAAAAAAATTAAATCTTTTTGAAATAAAAGAAATTGGTTAGAAAATGAAAAATAAAGGAAAAGAGCAGCCACTGAAGTAAATTCAGCATAAAAACGATTCATAGCTGGTAAATAATTATAATTTGCATTCAAATTTCATTGAAATTCCCTCAAGAGACTGAAATCTTCATTCAACAAATTTCAATTTACAAAAAAGTAAATCTTCAAGGAAACACATAATTTGTTATACTATTTTCTGAATTTTAATGCTTGGTTAAATAATACATCTATGAAATAAGGACTGTTGAGAGTATGTCCAAATTAGAGGTTCTTAACCCTTTGATTGTGGAGAGAGGAATCAACAAGTGACTCAAGACCAGATCAATGAGACAGACTTTTCATCCACTCCTTTTATTAGAAGAACAGGCACCTCACAAAAAAAAAAAACAATCAGGACATTTGCAGGGATCTAGATTCAAAACTCTTGATTCCTATAGCAGAGGACAATGGCAGTCAAGTACTTGTTTCCTTGAAGATTTTTCATTGACTCATTCAGGTTTGTTTGTCAAGTGGAGTTCATTGTCTGAGGTAAAATACATGCCACTCCCACATTCTTTGATTAAAAGAAAGTGTTTGCTGTTAACACTGTTTGTTCTTTGAGGTCCCACTGTATATAGGGAATGAAGAAAAGAGCAAAACAGTCACATTTATGTGTTATTCTGTATTTTAAAGTTTGAAAGGAACTTTTGCATTGAATTCATTCCTCAGAAATAGAAGAAAACTTGTGTCCAGAAAGTGTTTGAAAGTAACTTTTTGCTGGGAAAAAGAGGGGAAAAACAAAAAAGACCAACTGTCTCAAGTTTTGTAGAAATGATGTATACAGTACACTGGGATCTTGACTAATGAACTTCATCCTTGCCCAAAACTTCATTCAAAAAATTTAATCAGCTGAATCAAATTTTCTTTCAAGGAAGAACTTTTGAACTTTTGAGGACATTCCACTATTGCTGCTTCATTGACTCTTAACTTTGTTTTTTGCAAAAGTAACAAAAAGCCAAAACTTTTTAAATACCTGCCAACATTTTTTTTGTCTAACAAATTTTTATGAAACTCTGGCAGTCTGCAGAACATTTTTAGGAAATTGCTGGTCTGTGGAAAAAACGTTTTGGTAACACTGTGTCCTCTATCATTAAATGCGAGTTACACAACATTTGACAACTGCGGAATGTGTGTACGGTATTTGTGCCAATTTGTTTTTTGGTATCCCCAAAAACTTGGTCGAGTATTTTCTATTCTACTCCTATCATTATTTTTTCTCAATTAATTCATATTCTTTTTCTCCTTGTAGTCTGCAGTTATGTGGTGCACAAGAGGTGCCACGAGTTTGTCACTTTCATCTGCCCTGGGGCTGACAAAGGAGCCGATTCAGACGTGAGTACAGTAAAAAAAAGTGCACTAGAAAACCCAAGTACAGTACAGTCAAACCCCTATATTTAATGCCACCATTTGTCCTGGAATATTTTGTTGCACTGAGGAAAGGTATTTTTTGAGAGAGAGAGAGGTCCAGTTCAAGGTTCCCATCATGGGGAGGAAAATGAGCTTATTTGCAGAATTTTTAGGTTATCCAGGGTGTTTTATGAGAGGAAAAAAAAAGTCAAAATAAATTTGAAGCTCAAGACCCCAATATGCAGACACCCAGAAATACAGACAGACCATTTCACTTTTGGGACACTGTGAAACCAAAAACATCAGGCCCAAGTTAGGGACACTTTTCTGGAATTTCCACCAAAAAGTTGAAACATTTCATTTTTCACATTTTGAACAAATCAAGCTCTATATATTCACAAAAAATGTAAATTTTATTTCATGATAAATTCACTGCAATTAATAATCAAAAGTAAGCTGATTTTGTGCTTCTTTTTTCAGTCTTTTTTTTTAATCGTCTGTGCATACTTTAGCAAAAATTTGTTTTTTTTCTTTGCTTTTTGATCTGCTTTTGATACCAAAAGATAAAATTATATGGGTTTGTGTTCTGCGCTATTGTTTTCTACAACTTGAAGTTGAGGGAAGCAGCTTTGATTAAAATATTTGAGGACTTTAAAAAAGTGAAAGCGAATTAAAAGCATAAGCATTGAAGTCTAAGGGAAAACTTAGGAACATTATAATGTAAGGACACTCTTGATTCACCAATTATTTCCACATCTCAGGGTCTCACTGTTTTTACTTTTAAAATAAGCATCAAGGCACAGTGTATTGCATTTTTTTAAAGCATATGACATCCAGTAAATGATCATGGGTGTTTCTCAAGATTTTGTGTGCATTTGAGTTAGTTTTATATGAAATGCCATCATGAATGAATCACCAATGTTTCTTCAAAAGCTGCCACTTTTTTATATTTTCAAGGAAGCAGGGCATAACATAAATGAAGCAACAAAATATTTTTTCCTGTAATTTTAAATTCAAAAATACATTTTTCACATTATATCCTGAGTTTTATGTCAGCATGTGGATTTGATTCTCAGTCAAAAGTCTTATAATCCCATGATATTCATGGGCAAATGCCCAAGTTTACTTCATTCTCTGCCCAATGTTTTTTTGAAACATGACAAACATTTTTTTGTGGAACTGAGTGAGTTGGGAATAAATCAGGATTTTATTTGAGAACAGAATCAAGGTAGATTTGTAGCAGGCAAATGTGTGGCACTAAGTTGAGGGTTGACTGTACTTCAGTGTTACCACTGATGATTCCATTTGCTGGGTGAAAATGTCAGTTGGAAACCCTTTTCATGATTGTGTGTGTATGTGTGTGTGTGTGTGAGTGGGAATGTGTGAGAGAGAAAAACGAGTTTCATTTTAAGCTGCAAGAGGGCTTCTTTGACAGGAAGTCCTTTTCCGCAATTTATGTGGTTGCTGGTTTAAATCCGCGGAAACCTTTCAAAGCTTCTTCTTCCTCTCTTATGGTGACATTTACGCAACTTCAACCTTGTTATGGCGAGTGAAGTAAAGCTGTCGACATGCATCTGGCTCTTGAAAAATTTTTTTTTTAAACCCTGAGAAAGAGAGAGGAGATGAAAAAAAGAAGGAAAAATAACGAGGAACTGCTGCAACACATCAAGTGCAGCTTTGGTCCCGGCTTCGATTTAATTTAGTTATTTAGAGCCATTTGCACCTGTTTTTTTTCAAATTAAAGAAAGGTGAGTTTCATATGTGGGTAAATGTTGAAAATGTTTCCAATGATTCAGGCGTGCTTCATACTTGCTTCTAATTGGGACAATTTCGGCTTCACAGAAGCTATTGAAATTTCAGGTTCAATTTCATTTGTGAACTCAAATTTGTGTGTTCCTATTTTTTGAGAAATTTAAGTTTTAGAACCACTTTTATATATTTTTAAGGAAGGAGGGTATAACAATGCAGCAAAGAATATTTTGAAACAAAAAAATTATGATAAGTTTTAGAAGGTCAGATGTGGGTACTTCTTTTATTCTCATGTGAAATTTTAGACAAATTTTCATCAGAAGAACTCATTTTTATGGAAGCATTTGAAAATTAGTTGAATTGAAGTCAAAATTCATGTATAAATTCAAATTTGCGTGTTCCTTTTTTTTTTGGAGAAATTTCAGTTTCTGAGTCACTTGAATTGTGTTGGGCATCAGTATACATTTTTTGAAAAGAGGAATACTTTTTCTCATGGAAGGAATTGAAAATTAATTCAATGCAGGTTCAATTTCTTATTTCAATTGAAATTTGGGTGTTTCTTATTTGTTTTAATATCACAGCTTTAGAGTCACTAAAAATAGAATGGGTATCATATCTTACTCAGGCATGCAATTTTATCAAGTTTTCAGACTGAAAATACTGGGTGTGTGTCTTAATTGAGAGTGTGTGGTACTTGAGTAAATATGGTAATTATTTTCATTTCTGGAATATCTTGTTAGTAAATTTTAACATTGGATTAGGAATGTTGTTGCTGATACATTTGGGAAGAACTGTACCATATTTTCTCAAGTGCCACATAGACATTTTTTAAAAATGGATTAAAAATGTTTCCATCATGGGTGGGTCTATGTTTAAAAAAAAGTTTTTGGAGTTTAGTTGTGCCTAAGGCTAATTAAAATGTTTGACCAATTTCATCAGAGAAACTCATGTACATTGAAAATCAGTTGAATTCAGGTTCAATTTATTGTATAAATTCAAATTTGGGTGCTAATATTCTTCAAATATTGCATTTCCAGAGACACTAAAAATTATTCGAATTGTGAACCTGAGCAGATCTCCGAGCAGAGAAGCTTTTTCGTCTCGCAGAAACTCCGAATTCCGAAATTCTGACCAAGTGTTTATCATCAAACGAAATATAACTAATTCAAAACTCGGACTTTGTCCCAGCTGATTTACTTAGCTCATATTTATACATTCGACTCTTCACTCTCGCGAAAAGAACTTTCATTCTTACCTTCAAATTCAATTGCTTCTTCTCCTAAATTTTTCATCCATTCCACATTATATTTTCAGCTTTGTGAGTTTGTCTGTTTGACATATCTTTTTCTCACAGTTGCTGATACATTTGGGAAGAACTGTACCATATTTTCTCAAGTGCCACATAGACATTTTTAAAAAATGGGTGAAAAATGTTATCATCATGGGTGGGTCTATGTTATGAAAACGTTTCTGGAGTTTAGTTGTGCCCAAGGCTAATTAAAATGTTGGACCAATTTCATCAGAGAAACTCATGTACATTGAAAATCAGTTGAATTCAGGTTCAATTTATTGTATAAATTCAAATTTGGGTGCTAATATTCTTCAAATATTGCATTTCCAGAGACACTAAAAATTTGATTCACATTTTTCTCAATTTAAAACAATTTTATCAAAATTTCAGGCTGGAAAACTTATGGGTGTGTATTACTTGAGTGTCTGTGATACTGAAGTTGAACATGATCATCATTTCAAGTATGGAAAACCTTGTCTGTAAACTGGAACATTTTTATTGGGTTATTTCTCTTTGCATGGCTATATGAAAAAAAATTAAAGATGTCTCATGAAACCCTTTTCATGAAAACTGTATGCAATATGTACATTATGATGATGATGATTATGATGTTGATGGTTGTACTGGGTGTGTATAACAGGACAGCAGGACCAAGCACAAGTTCAAGGTGCACTCCTACAGCAGCCCCACATTCTGCGACCACTGTGGCACTCTTCTCTATGGGGTCTTCCATCAGGGCATGAGATGTGAAGGTGATTCTTGACTTGTCTGGAATCAGACAAGAAACTTTTTTTTTTTTTTTTGTCATGTGCCTGGGCTGAAAAACTGCTGCTAGTTGGTGGTGCTGGTGGTGCTTGTGCCTGTCCTATTGCATAGTCATGAGCTTGCTTGCTTGGGCATGATTGCTGTGCATTTGATGATGAAGCTTGTTTTTCAAAAAAAAAGAAAAAATTTAGAACATTAAAAAATTAATCTAAAAAACCACGTATTCAAAAAGCAAAAAATAACCTTAAACGTGGTGCGCATCTATTTCATTTGTATTTCACTTCTTCCCAACAATCTCCATGCGCACCACATTTAAGGTTATTTTTTGCTTTTTGAAAACGTGGTTTTTTAGATTAATTTTTTAATGTACTAAATTTTTTTGTGCTTTTTAGTCTTACTTGAAAAACATGGTTTTTTAGATTAATTTTTAATCTGCTATAATTATTTTATTCTTTTAAAAAAATATTCTTATAATTTTTCTTTTCACAAAAGATTGCATTGTCATCAGTTTCTAAGCTATCCTGAAAGTTTCAGCTTGCTAGCTAGTCGGGAAGTGAGCGAAATTTGAGTTGCAAAATTAGATCCGGACAAACAAACGGACAAGAAAGCGAGTTAATAAAAACGTGTTAAAAATTACTTGCAGTGAATGAAAGAAAATGTTTTGCATTTGAGTATGCATGCTGGTGCAATTGCTGGCATTGAAACGTACTAAAGAAATATTCAATGTATCTCATTGAATATATATGGAAATATTGAAAATATATCATTAAATATTTGGCATTCGCCATTTTATTTGGTCTTAATTGGAAGCTCAATAAGATGTTTCCCAAATTTTTTTTTCATTTGATGGATCCTGAGCTTTAATCACTTTTTAAAATACACATTTTCTTTTGAGATCTCAAATTTACTGATAAACTTGCCCCAAAAATGTCCATCTCACTGTTGCACAAGCTTGTGGTGAAACAGTGACTTCAGTAAAATGGTTCAGCACTTCATGAAGGATTTCAACTCTGTAGAATAACAACAACTACTACTGCTCCTGGTGGTACTTGTGCTTGTCATATAACATTTATGCTGTCAAATCTTATTTTTTTCACCTTTCCTTGGTTGCTTGAGCATGATTCCTATCCATTACTCATGTTGTCAGAGGCTGTGGTTGTCCTTTTCATTTTCAAGTTCTTTTCTGCATCAGTGGCATGCATGCACATGAAGGCAAAAAAAAAAAAAAAACCATTCACTCTTCCAGGGTCTGCTGCTGATAATGCTGACAGCTTGACCGTAAATTCCGTCTTTTATCTCCGGAAACGAGGAAAGAAATACAATACTTGAGACTAATGCATTGTATCCAGGAAGGATGAAAAAAAGAGAACAATGAAAACTTGATAAAATAAGCTCTTCATTTTACGTCAAGATAATGTTGTACTGACGTTTATTACTATGGAAGCGGTTCTATGTTTATTATTTTACTAATAATGAGAAGTATGACATGACTGGACAGAAAACTGGGAAGCAGAGAAAGTATTTGCTGTTGCAATTTTTTTTTTTGGTGGGCTACAGGCAAAATCTGAATTTAATGCCATCATTTGTCTTGGCATTAATTTCAGGGCATTTTGAGGGGATTTTTATTGCAGGTAAAATGAGCTTGTTTGCAGATTTCTTAGGCCACTGTGCCTGCTTTAGAAGAGAGAAATCTAGAAGAAATAAATTGAAGCTCAACTGTAATTTTTTAAAAATACTGTATTTCATTATGAAAAAGATGCTGAATATATTGGATTTTTCACAAATACTGTATTGTGTTTAGGAACAGAGCTAAGCTGTTTTTTGAATTTTTATTTCATTTGGAATTTTATGTCAGCTGCATTATTCAGTGATCACCAATTTTTCTAGAAAACCCCACAGTATATTCATAGAATTTTCAATTTAAATGGAAGGCTTCATGCATAAAAAAATATTTCAATAATGTAAGTTCAGAAATGCCATTTTCAAAATTATCCTTGAGTTTTATGTGTGTGTAATTGTCAGTGATAATCTAAATATATCCCAAGAAACAGCTCAGGGTTTCTTTGATTTTGGCCAATTTTTCATCCAAGAAAAATAATCTTTGTGGCACTAAGTGAGATGGCACTAAATCAGGGATTTCTTTGGAAATGCAAAAGAGGGAGATTTCTTCTGAGAAATGTGTGGCAATATTTATTGCTGGCACTCAATGGAGGGTTGACTGTATTTGTTTTTTCTTCAAAACAATTTTAAAATATGTCTTTGTATCTGTATAAAAAAAGAAAAATAAAGATATCCTTAAATGAAAATTTCATTCATGGAAAAGCAAATTATAATCATTCCATGCCCTTCTGGTGATGATTTAATGGCTCTCAGCCCTATATGATGTTTGCTCCTTGACAATAAACATGAATTTGTGTCACTTGTATATGAGTGCAAAGTACAAAAAAAAAATCCAGGAAAAAGGGAAGGTGCTTACCCAGCAGAACCATTTAATGTCAGGGCTGAACATCTTGCAAGAGGTACAGGGACTTCCTCATGCTTGTTTGACATTCCTGCCAGGTTGAGCATCTTATTGTTGCATGTATCCTTCATCCCTGCTCAATGTTTGTCTTGCTGGTTTGCTCAACTGGAAATGATGTGTATTTTTTATGCTTGCATGCATGTATGCATGCATGCATGCATGTATGTATGTGTGTATGTACTGCTGTTTGTGTATAATATGCATGAAGGGATGCTTATGCATTTGTTTCCCTGTGTTTTTGCTTTCTTGCTTGCTTGTGTGCTTGCTCCAATCCTCCTGCCTTTATATACTTTTTACTGTATGTATATTTCTCATCTGAAGAGAAGCTATTCTCTGAACTTGAGGGCTCAAGGTGAAGATGTTTCCCTGGTACTGAAGTTCCTCAAGTGCATACACATCTCCTGCTGGTTGGTTGTAGGAAACATGGGAATAACTTCATTTACAAAGAGATTCAATGACTTTATTTGGGATTTGACTTTTCAAACAGAGCTTGGTGTCATGAAAATGTTGAGGAACCCTCTTCAAGGCCAACTTCAGTCAAATAGCAAAAATAAAACTGATTTGAGGAGGTTTTCATTTTCAGAAACAAGTATTTTTGTTGAGAGAAAAAAATAATTGTAATTGTTGATTTTCTGGGCCTTGAATTTTCATTATAAATTTATTGACAGGATGTTTTGGAGAAAATTCTCTGGGAGGATAAAAAGCAAGGTGCAGGGGTTTCCTCCTTTCTTCACTTTTTTCTTCAAATAAAAACACTTTTCCAAAAACCTTCAATGTGAGAGGAATCTCTTCACTACTTTTTATTCAAAATTATTTTTCAACAAATTGCCATACAGTATTTTGAATATATGTTTGTGCTGATGCTTTACTCAGTGTTTTTTTCTCAGTGTTTCTTCTGGGAATCATGTACTATACCTCACATTGAATCATTTGATGGATTATTTGGAAAGAGTAAGAACATGTATTGCAAAGTGATCCACTGAATATGTGTTGCTGGCTGCAAAATGGCTGATTGACCAGTTTTTATTCCACTGCAACCCCTGTCTTCAATTCTTTTGTTGAGTGCCACTTATGCCTAATAAAGAATGCTGAAATTTGAGGCAAGATTTCATTTGCATAATTAAACCTCCATTTCTTTTCAAATCACATCAGGTTACATTTCATTGCTTTTCTCTTTCCTGGATAAAAAAGATAAAAGCCAAAAAGGACTCTGGGAAATTTTAGTTATGGAGGTTTGAGGAGGAAAGCCTTTGAGTTAGGTTTTCAATACATTGTTTCCAAGGGAATTTTAACCAGGACTAAAATACCATCAATAGAAAGCTTTTTGACTTGAGGAAGTTCAAGTCATCAAAATTCAAAACTGTCTTTTAAAATAATTTAGACAGCACATTAATGTACTAAATTTCTCTTGAGGCTGTGCGTGTGTCAAAGTCCCAAAACAAATCAATCATCAGCACTACACTTTCATTGTTTGATGCATTTTCAATAATGCAGTAAATTGACCATAAACTGGATTGTTTCTTCACTATTCCTCAAGGAATACAGAATCAAACATAAATACAGACATAAATACAGAATCAAACAAAAGAGTGGATGATGACAATGCCAAGGAACAAATAGAACATGGGCCAACAGCTGGTTTGCAGACAAGAGCATATACTCAAGGGGCAATTCCAATATATGTCCCTTGTTCTTTTCAGAATGATTTATTATGTAATATGAAATGTCACAATCAAAAGTAGCACTGAAAACACTGCCAAAGAAAGTGAAGACAAATTAGCGCGCTAACGTGAATCTGAACGCAAGTATGAAAATACAAAATATTGCATGGATAAAGAAGGAATAAAAAGAGATTGTCAATCTTTTCACAATGAAGGCTGTGTGGAGACTGCTTTTTAAATTTATAATAAAAGTTGGA